CGAGATTTGCATGATAATACATGGACATTTCGTCATATATACCGCGGTTAGTATTTTGTTTTTGTCTTTCGTTAAAGGGTAGTTTTGTCATTTACAAAATCTATTTACGTGAAATGTCTAAAATACCCTCCATGATTTTATATGCAGGGCAGCCAAAACGACACTTACTGACTACGGGGTGGAGTATGTTTGTTGGTGCAAAAAGGCTTAAAGCTGGTGATGCGGTTTTATTTATAAGGTACGATTTCTTTCTATTTATAGTCAAAATATCATATGATAATGGAGATGTAAGGTTAAATGAGTAAATTTAGGCTGAAAATTTCACAAAAAACATGTTGCAATTTTCATTGGGACCCTAAAGTTATACCAACATTATACAAATATTACAATGACTTAAAGCAAACAAGAAAAATGACATGGCTAGTGCACATGATGATTTAGAGGGGTGTTATTGTCAATTACTTCACTCACTAAAATTATACAAAACTTCGAAAAAGGTTATCAAATTTCTACACATTGACATTTTTTAAAAGACTCGAACTCGAATAAGGCGTTGTTTCTTTTCCAGTTAATACTATTTGGATAAATAAAGTCTAAATAATATTTAAGAAAATGACAACACTTTGTAAAAAATAGAAGTAAAAAAGTAAACAAGGGCAAATTTGTAATTATTGTAATGTTGTAGGGATGAGAAGTCACAATTATTGTTGGGAGTGAGGAGAGCGAACCGCCAACAAACTTCGTTACCGTCATCGGTTTTATCCGCCGACAGTATGCACATCGGAGTCCTTGCAGCCGCCGCTCATGCCGCCGCTAATAGGAGTCCCTTTACAATTTTCTACAATCCTAGGTAAAATGTTTTATTTATATAATTAAAATTTAAAACATGAAAATATTTACTTTAAAAATGTCTTATATATTTTTCTATTTTATTTAGGGCATGCCCTTCGGAATTCGTGATTCCATTGGTGAGATACCGAAAGTCGGTCTTTGGGACACAGTTGTCTGTCGGTATGAGGTTTGGAATGATGTTTGAAACCGAGGAATCAGGAAAACGCCGGTATGTGGATAAAGTTAATAGATATTCGTTTTTTGGAAACATAACTGATTCGTACACAAATTTTTTTTTACATACATGAAAATTTGTGCATTAAAATATTTTATTGTACAACTTTATAAACCATGAATTGTGTGTATGGAGAAAAATTGTTGTGTAATAATCACTTTTTTTTTGGTTAATAAAACTAATAATATTTTAATTATCTTTCTACCTATGTGAAATGGTGACACCTGGCTTAACATATATTTGTTTTTTATTAAAACGTGACACTTGTTATAATTTAATATGGGTAGGAAGATAAATAGGAAAAAAGATAGGATAGATATTTAATTTCTCGAAATAGAAAATGATACATTTATGTAAAAAAAAAGTTGATGATAATTATTAATTAAATAATCTTATTGTTAATGAAGATATATGGGCACGATTGTTGGGATAAGTGACGTGGATCCATTAAGATGGCCCGGATCTAAGTGGCATAATCTCCAGGTAATTAATTAAGGCGTTTTTTTTTTGGTAAACATGAATGACAATAATGTATGGATAATTAAGGTAGTGTTTTTTTGATTACAAAAAAAATGTTACTAATTTTTCTGAAAAATAATTTTAATTTTGGTGTTCATGTTATGAAAACAGGTTGAGTGGGATGAGCCAGGTTGTGGTGATAAACAAAGCCGAGTGAGTCCATGGGACATTGAAGCACCAGAAAGTCTCTTCATTTTCCCTTCTCTAACTTCAAGTCTCAAAAGACCTTTCAATTCCGCTTTTCTAGGTGAATTCCATTCCTTTGTCATGTTTACCTTTTTGCCCTTGTGCTATCATAAAATTTTTTTAGTGACATTTTTTGTAAATGTAATTAGGAGCACAAACCGAATGGGACAATATGGTAACCCGACCATTCATGCGGGCCCCGGAAACAATAAACGGAAACTTTTCAAACCCTTCAATGTCTAGCTTATGGTCAGAACAACTCGTCAAAATGTTAATGAAACCACAAACCAATCACAATACGCCACCTGTGATTCAAGATACTTTCACAACTAATCGCCCACAATTTCACCTCATTCAACCCAACACCACCACCACCATAACCGCCGCCTCACCGCCACAATCCACCCAAAATCTCTCCGGCGACCACCAATCCGATCAGAAACCACCGATAACAGTCACTTCCGACACAATAAAACCAGAATCAAAACCAATGTCCCCGTTTCTCAATCAATTATCCCCGTTTGACTCGAGCGTACTCCATGGTCAACAATTCGACTCCCCCCAAATCGATTCTTCAAGTCTTAACGGGTTATTCCCGTACCCGGACACAAACGTATTGAACCCGTATCAATCTCTCGGATCCGAAACGTGGGACCCACAACCCAACAACACTTCACGATCTTTCTTCCAACAAAACACTGGACCCACGAATTACGGATTCAAAGACCTAACAGACGAAAACCAAAACCACAACAATGTCTACAATTGTATCAATTTCGAGGGTAGTAATGGCGGATCCACGGTGGTTGACCCATCGGTATCGAGTACTGTTTTAGACGAGTTTTGTAATTTGAAAGATATCGAGTTTCAAAACCCGTCTAATTATTTAGTGAGTAATAATAATTTTAGTTCTAGCCAAGATGTTCAATCGCAAATTACTTCTGCTAGCCTTGTGGATTCCCAAGCTTATTCTATGCAAGAATTACCCGATAATTCGGGTGGGGCGTCTTCTAGTAATGGGGAATTCGATGATTCCGGTGGACTTTTGCAGAATAATTCGTGGCAACAAGTTGCAGTTCCTACACGTGTACGCACGTATACCAAGGTTAGAACTTTACGTTACTTTCGATTACAACATTGTTTTTGAGACAAATATATTGTAATTATGATCCAATTTAACGACTTTTGTTTTCAATTTCTTGTGGTGTTACAGATTCAGAAAGCAGGATCAGTTGGGAGGTCTATTGATGTGTCGAGTTTCAAGAACTATGATGAACTTTGTTGTGAAATTGAAAAGATGTTTGGGCTCGAGGGATTGCTTAATGATTCCCGAGGATCAGGTTGGAAGTTAGTGTATGTAGATTTCGAGAATGATGTTCTTCTTGTTGGAGATGATCCATGGGAGTAAGTTCCTTCTTTAACAATACGACATAGTTTACCAAAAATCAACAAGTTTAAATTGATGCCTTTAAAAAGTGTTTAAAGGGTTAACATTGTGGTGTAAAATGCAGGGAATTTGTGGGGTGTGTGCGATGTATAAGGATTCTTTCGCCTTCTGAAGTTCAACAGATGGGTGAAGAGGGAATGCAGCTTCTCAACAGCAATGCAGCATTGCAGGCTGGGATTAATGGTGGGTCAGGGTCCGACAATGGTGCGCGTACTTGGGTGGGACCCACATGATCCGATGGGATCTTAACAATCATGAATCGGTTGTAGTGATAAGATGAGAGAGAGAGAGTTAGCAAGATTCTTGGTTTGATTTGTGGTTTGTAGAGATGAAGTGAGTGACAAATTAGTGAAGGAACAAACAACCCATTGTAGCTTTATGAGATGTTAAAGGATTGTAAACATTTAAAATGCTATATGAATTAAGGATTGTCAGATTTATCTAAATCTCCCCATTCAAAATGAAAGTATGTTTATGATGCTTTCTCATGAATATGCATGGCAGAAGAGTGGAATAGTGAGATTAATTAATAAGCTTAAAAGACGGGTTAATAGGGGTGTAAATGTGTCGAGATCGAGCTTTGGTAAGCTCGGGTTCGGCTTGTTTACATTCATGGGGTTCGAGCTCGGCTCAAGTTCGGTTCATGAAAGATTTAACATGCTCGAGCTTGGCTCAGGATCGACTTGTTTGCCAGATTAGCATAAATGAGCGTAAGCTTGCCTTGGTTAATAGTCAAATATCAAGCTCGTATGTGTTTTGAAATTCGTTTATCGTTATTTGATTTTTAACATTTAATTATCTAATAATATTTTAATATATAAAATTAAAATTGAAATTATATTAGCTTAGGATCGCAAGCCAAATCGATTTCAGAGGATAAAACTTGGGTTTGGTCTCTTGAAAAGTAAATGAGCAGGAAACTGAACTCTCGAGCCTACATGAGTTCGAATCGAGATTTTTACGAGTCGATCATAAATAGTTTGATTTATTTACAACCCTACAAATGTTCAAAAGAGCATTTTGTAAATGGTTACTTTCCATGTCGTATTAGAAGAGAATTGGAATAGATATTGTAATATCGTGAAACCATATTAAGAAATAGTGAAGGACAGGATTAAGCGGGAGACTTGATGTGCATTGTGATACTACAAAATTGGGAAAACATGGTAGCACATATGTAAAGCATACTCCCTATACTATTAGCATGCACAGTATACACTAACCACAATATAAATATGAGTGTTTTAGTTAGGATACCATTCTGTCATGCGAAGTACATGGGTAATAACATTAAACTCAGTCCTTGTGTGTATATATATATATATATATATATATATATATATATATATATATATATATATATATATATATATATACACACACACACACTAGCGGTTTACCCGCGCCAAACGCCGGGTGCGGATATTTTATTCAAAAATTAAATTGTAGAGACGATTAATTCTTTTGCACAAATAGTTCACTACATATAAACAATTATCAGTATAATTAAAATAATAATATATAAATGTACACTCTTGATTACAAACCCGATTATATCGAACTATGCAAATGATAAAATAATAATATATAAATGTACACTCTTGATTACAAACCCGATTAAATATTTGTTTTTTTAGTATAATTATGATTTATGTTGTTTTTTTTTGTCACAACAGACATGTAACAGATAAATCAACACTTAGGTAGCCAATATATAACTCACACGAGCTCGATCCACTCCAAATTTCCAATCTTTTTCCACCTTTTCACTTTCTCTCACCTTTACTTTGACTTTGACTCATTAACAACCCCTAAAATCCCCCTTTGTCTCAAACTCCCCCAAGAAACAACTGCTTTTCGTTTCATCTTATGCCCCCACACAATACTATCCTTATCCCACCTTTTTACCTCATTAAGAAACATACTTTGATTCTCTTTCACATCATCTTTCATTCTTGGAACAAAAAATTCCGGTTTTGTCCCTCCCACCGCTATTCTTGGAACACCCAACACATTCACAAGCGAAGAAGGAGCATCATGTATTTTTTCCCCATTTGAAGATGAAAAAGCAGACAAGAAAACATCCTTAACATTTCTCATGTGGGTCCCCGTTTGATTTTGACTTTGACTACTTAAGGTCCTACTACCTTTTAAAATTCCAACCGCTACATGATCTGTTTTAGGCTTTAAAGATTCCACATTTTTGTCTTCTAACATTCCGGGAGTTGAAGAGAATGAAAACTGACCTTTGACGGTGATGGAGGGTAGGATCTTAGGGGGTGGGGTGAAGTTTTTTTAGAGGGGGTTGACTTTTTTCAGGCGGTCAACGGCTGCCCCTTCGACCCATCTGACCACTACGATTCGTGAAGTGCGATTTGGGTCGTATTCGATTCGTTCAACTACACCTACTGATGAAGTGTTGCGTTTTAGGTCAATTGTTCTTTGTGACCGTTTTGCCCCTCCCCCTCTGTGGAAAATTGTGATACGACCCTTTGAATTTCTACCTGCTGACTTGTCTTTAGCTGTAACGAATTGCCTAAGTGGCCTTTTAGAACTCACATTTTGAGCACCTGTAGGAATATGATAAAGTCAATAAAACTGTTTTTGTTTGGATAAATCATAGATGAATTTCAGATAACAATATAATCAGTAATGTTTAAATCCTAAGCACCACATCTCTACAATCAAATTAAGAAAGCTGGAAATGACATCTCTCTGGTACTGATTATCCATCTTGAATTGAAAATATACAACTTTAAATACCGATTTCTTTTTACTTTATCAGCATATGATTTATTCTTTCAATATATTTGCATTTTTACATGTACAAATAAGTGTTTACTAAAATGTACATGAACAAAATCAACTCTTTTTATTTAAAAGAGTATACCAGGGTCTAGGAATGCCAAAGAAAGTTTCGCTTCTGATGTCAAAAAGGTTGTTTCTTATTGTAAAATTGAAGTTAGGGTTCAACAAGAAGAGCAACAAGCAAACAAATTCAAAAAGTCACCTGTTTAATCATCAATTCATAAAACACGTGTTTTCAGCATTACTATTACCAAATTAATACTATGAGAGAACCAATATCCCAGCAAAGCTGAAACCTCAAAAACAGAACTTTGCCTTGGGTGACTACCGATACCTTTGAGCATTTTGACCTTATACAGACGTGGGTTTTGAGGCTAGAGACACACAGACGACACTCGAACATGTAATAATTTGAAAGAGCTAGGTTTGACATCAAAACTGGAACAAAGAGTTTGTATTTGCACATTAACTCCAACATCAAATTCAATCTTCATTGAGCCCTTTTTTCAGATTCATTTCTCTTGAACATGACAATTTCAACTTCGAATTTGCATTTAAAAAAAAAGTTACGGTTGATAGAGTGCTTAGATCTCATCTGAAAGCTGCTAATCCTCGAAGTAATCTCAAGCGAGTGGTGCGAGTGTAGAGGACATAGGAGATAAAGAGAGAGCGCGGTGGCTTCTTGTCACCAAAAAGGTGTTGCGAGAGCACAGTAGGTGGCGGCGACGACGATCAGATACAGATACAATGAGTGGTGCGAGGTTGGAGAGTGGGTGGTGATTCACCACCGATGGTGATGATGGCGATGAGTTAGGCGGATGAGGTGCGATGTCGGCTTTTCAAAATAGGGTTTTTGTTATTTGTTTGAGGGAAAATGCGAGTGTCGAGGACAGATGAGAAAAAATAGTATGTTTACTTTTTTGATTCAATTTATGAAACGTCAATGTTTATTCCATTAATTTGTCAAACGAAAATGTGAATATTTAATGCAATTAATTTGTAAAACGGAAATGTGATAGGAGTATCAAAAAGTATGAATAAATTGAATGTATATTATGCAGTAGATGTAGTACCTCTTAAATTTCAAGAAATGGGCAATATCCTTAATAATATAGTAAAGATATATATATATATATATATATATATATATATATATATATATATATATATATACACGCTACCTTACCATTCCCAAATCTGTTTTGATATTGGATAAAGTGGAATCGGTAAGTTAATTTTTTTTGGATAAAGTTGGAAGAGCATCAATGGAAGCTAAGAATACCATTGTGATTATGAAGAGATACCATTGTGATTTACATTGTGCCATGCAAAAGTATGAGTAGAATGTTGCTTTTAATCTTAAGTTTTATTGTTGATAAAAGTTGGACCATGTAATGATGAAGCAACATCAAATTAAGCTGATATCTTCAAGTAAATTGAAGGGTACGGTTCAAAATCTTTTTTAATACATGTGTATGAATTGGGGAAATGACATTTTTTTTAATGGCAAAGAACATGTATTAAACGAAAAAAATTCATTGTAAGAAAACTTCAAACAAGGACACCAAATCAACATCACACAAAATAGCCAAGCAGGGGTAAAAAGGTTAAATAAGGTGTTTTTTGTGTTGCTTCAAACAATCATGAAAGAGCTTTTGGATATCTTTATTCTGTAATCTATTTAATATTCTGATGCATTTCATACATATACATGTCCTCATAGGACTTTTGGAGTTCATACGGATACATGTCCTCATAGGACTCTTGCCTCGCGCTTTGGTGGTACCTGTCCAGCAAATCTTGATGCATTTCATAAGGATACATGTCCTTATAGGACTTTTGGAGTTCGAGATTCATGGTGGCCAGCATGATGCAATGAACTTTCGTAGCATCCCACTCGTGGGCCTCAAAGGCGGCCAACTCTTCAGGAGTAGCAACATCTGGATGGTCTTTTCAAGTTTCTCATCGAGGAAATATTCTTTGTCCTCGTAGCGAGTGATCATGCGTATGTACCTCATCCACTCGTTGAAATTCGACCCATCAAATGTCACCTTTTGACATAGGTTTATCAGCAAGAATGACCCAGAAGCGTTGTTGTTGTTGTTAGCAGACATCTGGAAAAGAAAGGAACAAAGTTTGATCAGAAATGAATCCCCAATTAAACACCCAAATGAAAAATTAGGGCTAGGATCCAACAACATTATTCACAACTTAGAAAAGGGATGCCATAATCTAAATACAAACAATTTGAAGGTAAGTGAATGACGATTCACTAACTTCCACCATGAAAAACGAAAGGACATTAAGTCTTAATGTATTTAAAAATTCCTAGATTCTTTTGAGATTCAATGAACTTTTCAATTACATGTTTAAATCTCGATATGCCCTTCAAGTTTGTGACTGGGATACCGAGGATCACAAACAAGGTATGAATAACCATGCAAATCAACATGGTGCACTCAATGTCTCTATCACCTAATCAATGTGTCGATAAACCACACACGCTCCATTGATCTATGACAAACATCGAGCCACCATTCGCTACCAATGTCAATCCCAAATTAGTGTGCCGGTTAACTACACACGCTCCACTAACGTTTGACAAGGGTACAAAGTGTAATTCCATGGAGTAGCATCATTTTCACATTCCAAGAAACTGTCCGACATCTACATTCGAGAGGTAGTAGCAAGGCACGAAGTGCCAGTCTCCGTGATTTCTAACAGAGACATGCAGTTTACTTCCAGATTTTTTAAAACGTTTCATGACGAATTGGGTACTCGTCGGCACTTTAGCACCACTTTTCACCCGCATACAGATGGTCAGAGTGAGTGTACCATCCAGACTTTGGAGGATATGCTGTGATCATGCATTTTATACTTCAGTGGTAGATTGGATACCTACCTTCCCTTGGTATAGTTTTCTTACAATAATAGCTACCACGCGAGTATTGACCGTCCTCCCTTCGAGATGTTATACGGGAGGAAGTGCAGAACCCTGATATGCTGGGGTGAGGTTGGGCAGAGGGTCATGGGGAGTAATAAAGTGGTACTCAAGACGATAGGGAGGATCCAACAAGTTTAAAGCAGGCTTCAGACTTCTCAGAGTCGGCAAAAAAGTTATACCGACAAGCGTTGTTCGGACCTAGAGTTCCAGGACGAGGATATGGTCCTCCTGAAGGTGTCTCCTTGGAAAGTTGTCATCTGGTTCAGGAAGCGGAGCAAATGGGGCCCCAGGTACATTTATCCCTTTAAGGTTGCAGCCCGTGTGTGGAAGGTGGCGTATAGGCTGGATCTGCCAGCCGAGCTTAGCCAGATTCATAGTACCTTTCACGTCTCCCAGCTGCGAAAATGCTTGGTAGATGACTCTGCGGTGGTGGCTCTAAGGATATTCATGTGGATGACAACTTGAACTACATCGAGCGACCAATAGCTATCGTCGACAGGAAGTCGAAGGATCTGAGGAACAAGAGGGTCGAGCTGGTGAAGGTGTAATGGCAGCACAACAAGGGCTCCGAATGGACTTGGGAGCCGAAGGACGAGATAAGTGAGCACTACCCCGAGATTTTTCCAGATGCAACAACAGACTTCAAGGATAAAGTATAAAATAAATGGGGGTGTGTTGTAACGCCCGGTTCCTGATACATATTTTTAATATAAGTTTTTTCACTTTTACACTGGGACTCGATGAGTTGGAGGCCCCAACTCATCAAATAGATGCGAATTTTGAAAACGGGTGGAAGAATCTACTCGCCGAGTTAGAAGCCCCGACTTGACGAGATCTGTCTAGAGGAAACCCTAAATTTAATGGTTTTCACCCTATTTAAACAACTTGTAAGGTCTCCACTCCAGCCTCCATCACCCTCAGACCCTCTTAACAAAACCCTAATTGAATATTGAGTGTTCTTGAGCTTTTTGTACCATTTTGTGTGTCTTTGAAGCTTGAGAAGAAGAGGAATCTTGGGAGATCAAGAGAAAGCAAGTAGATCCAGAGGTTTTGGCACATTCCCAACTAATTTGAGGTATAAAGCTGACACCTTGAATATTTATTTCTTAGATCTCTATTTAGGGCTATTTTCTACATTTTATAAGTCTCAGTGAAGCCATTTTTGGGGTTGTGTATTTTAATGGGGTTATACTTTAGATCTTGAACCTTTGAGGGTTCTTATGGCATAAGGGTGCCAGCTTTATTGCCATAGGAGTCTCCGACACCTTGTAGACTTAATTTTTGGGTCATTAAGAGCTAGTTAACCCATCCATGCATGTAAAGTTTGTAATTTTACGTGCTATATCGATCCTAGGAGGTCAGATCTATGTTCTGGATGCATTAAGCCTAACTAAAATTGATGGGGTAGACTTTGACTTTGGGGGACTCGACGAGTCATTCGTATGACTCGAAGAGTTGGGTCATG